TGTAAAAAAAAGCCATGTAATAAAATCTCAAATATTTTGGAGAAATTGCAAATAATAGAAATTGGCCTATAATTATCCAATTCATTCTTACTGCCCTTCTTGTACACTGGACACACTCTAGATAATTTGCAACATTCAGGATAACAAGAAGTTTTTATTAATAAATTAAAGATAATTGTTAGTGGGGCATCAAATGCAGATACACAGTCCCTTATAAAAAAATGCCGGTATTAAATCAGGTCCGGCTGCCATATTTGGCTTAATTTGTTTTATCCCAATATAGACTTCATCTTGTGAAGAGTTTAATATACTTAGCAGTACATTAGCGTTTGATGTAGGTGTTCGACAATGACTTTTACCCGGTTTTATATACGATTGTGAGAATAAGTCAGTAAAACTATTAACTATAGTCTGTGGATCATCAATAGTTTGGTCATACCGATTGCAAGTAACCTACCATTTGACATAGTAAATAATAAAACGTTTCATTCCTCCTGGAATAAATATAACCCCTAGTGGAAGTTATCATGTCGGACCAGCCTGGAAGTAGATTATTTAGTTATGCAAATATTACATCAGTAGATGTCGAATGGTCGTTGTCTTCAGATTAAGATATGTTATCACCGCAGTAGAAACTTACCTGATGATGGGATTTATAACGGTTCCTATCTAGATTGTGGGACCGATGGTAACGATGCGTAAAACAATTTACGTGTTTCACAATGATACAATGACAATCTTATAACCATTGTTCACTTTATTTTATGTTGATGTTATTTTGTGTTTGGTACGTGGACAATTACGACAGCTGTACTCATAATAATCTATCTGACATCGTTTTCTTGCAGCAGCATCGTTTTTTCTTGAAAAAATTTGAGTTCTAACCATATCAACGCTTTCTTGTATACGAACAAGCGTTTTCATAATATCGCATAGAAACTTGAAAATGAAAACAGAAAGATACACTGTACCGTCACTAAACACTAAAATAAGGTTATAAACTACACAACGACACTTCAGAAGCACCTTCTCGTGAACCGTTAATCTGAATATTAACATAAATATAATAAAATGAAACAGTGACGATGTATTCAGTCAGTCTGTACCTATTTATGGGCCACCAAAAAACACACAACGAAGACTGTGCTTTCATACAGACCCTAAATATCTTGTACGTAAGGGGCCACGCGGTTCAATTCGCTGTGGCTTCGTTATGATAAATTCATTCGGCCTGCACAGTGGAGACTAGCCTCCGTTGCCCTTCGTAAGCGTTCGGATCAGGATCGGATTCTGCTTAAATTTAAACTGTGTCGGGTTATTGATCATTTGGTTGCGGATAATAATAAAAAATAACAACATAAATTAGGTTTTTTCTGCAATTACATATTTTTATTTAGTCGGCTGATGAAGTAGATAAATTTAAAAAAATAATAAGAACATACCGTGTTTTGGTTTTTAACAGTAGTTTAACAGTAGTTTGACTTTCTAACAGTTGAATTAAAAAGGTAACAACTGGCAACCTTGACAAGAGATAGTTGATGATAAATTATACAAAATTCAATGTATAAAGTGTACATACAGTTGGTGTCAGAGATTGTGCAAAGCTAACTATCGAACAAGTTCATGAATACATAAAGGAAAATAATTTTTCTAATAGTAAACGATAGTTATGTTCAACACGCAATATAGGAACCGTCTGAAGCCACAAGCCTATAGCAATATATTTGTATAGAAAGTAGAATTGATAATTCTCATTTATTTTAAAAGAAGAAAATATGTAAGTACCTAAAGCAACTTATAAATGAATTACGGGAAAATAATTTGTTACTACAACAAAACGAACAATTATTAAATCTACAAAAACAACTGAATAAAAAACCAACACAAAAAATAATTGATATGAATTCTACTAAAAAGGGTAATATAAATATTCATTTACCTCTGTCAATTCCCAACAATTGAATGACTCCTCATTCTGTATCTCTACCGGATGGCCCGGGATTTTATTTCCTGAACAAAGTAATTTGTTCAGCTATAAATAATAATCGACCAAATATCGACCAAATAATGTAGTCCAATCAATGACCATTTTCCCATATAATTTTGCCAAACAGCACCGATTTTCATAAAAATTTGGATTTAGGTTCTACTTACCCTCTACTTCAAAGATGACCTTGTACCGGGAGTTGCTTTGACCCTGGGGGTGGATGCCCTTCTCGGGGGTGAAAAATGTTTAATTGAAAATAACTCAGGGAATGGATATACTGACTAATTCTAAGCAACTTTTGTCCTATAAAGTTTTTCGTAAAAGTCAATACTTTTCGACTTATTCGCGAGTGAAAGTATAATTTTTTTAACAAAAAAAAAACACTTTCAAACGGTTTTTCGCGAATAACTCAAATGTAAGTATTTTATCAAAAAAATCATTATAAAAAATGTAGTTTATAAAAAACAAAAAAATTGTGTATTTATGGTGACTGTAGACCCAATACAAGCGGAGTAATAGCGTGTTGAAGGTTGGTTCTTATTAGTCCAACGGTAAAATTGAAAGATTGAACGTGAAATAACCAAAAACTAATGCATTTTTCAGGTAATACCCATAGAACCTTTTTTAAAGTGCTTGAAAAACCTTTATTTTTATTTTTTATGAAAGTCCCTACAATCAAACCTAAGCGAGTTATGACGAAAATAAAGTTGGTCCGTATTTTATTCGAAGACAAAAAACGTGTAAATCACCCCTTAATTACCACCCCCATTGAAAATAATCGTTACCACTTTACAATTTACTTTATTTATGTACTTGTAATATGCTCTAGAAGTTTGACCGGTTTAAAGTGCTTAGTTTTGAAAAAAGTTGAGCTTGAAGTGAAAAGAGAATTTTTGTATTATTGGAAAAATTTCTTTTCTTCAAAATAACTCAAAAACTATTAATGATACGTAAAATTTTGTAGATTACAAAATTGTAAGTTTTGCTTTTTTGAAAATTTTGTTTTTTTTTTCTGTAGGATAAAAATTCAGTAAAATATGGACGTTTAAAAATGCATATGTTCGTAAATAGCAACTTGTTCAAGCCCTTTCAGCTCAAACCCTTACAAAAATAAAGGCTGAAAGAAAATTTAACTTATTTGGTCTTAGAGACCTTGAAAAAAACCTACAAAATGGTTTTTTTGAAGGACTTGATAGCATAAAAAATAAAACAGTTATCGTTAAAAAACCAATCACATATTTTTGCAGATATTAGAATACGTATATTGAAGCATTGATGAATACACATTAAGGCTATATTTTAAGAATAAGAATAAGAATTTTAGGAATATAATAGAAAAGGAAGACGAGAGTGAAGAGGATTTTTGATTATTCATATGTTATTTGTAATAACAGAAAAATATGTTATAAAAATAAAAAAATTTAATTCCATATAAAAATAAAATTCTTATTTTCCCTATTTTTGATTGCAAATTTTAATCAGGAGGGTTTTTTTTAAGGTTTGAAAATAAATTGTTCGATTTTTTTGCAAGGGGTGGTTTTTATAAAGGTTGAAAAACTTATAAATAAATAATAAAAAATTAGTACAGTAAAGAAATCTTAATTTAATATATTATAACACTATTATTAAATTATTCCAAGTTACTGAATAATATTTTTCAACATTATATTTTGATGATTACTGTCATAGGGGGTGGTTTTTAGTGATTGACAATTTTCAATTCATCATAATTACTTATTTAAAGATGATTTCAACCTATTACACGCTCGAATCTGCAATTCTATAATTATTTTCGAATAGGGGTCGTTTTCACCCCTAAAAAATTAAAAGCAACCACCGGCACAGGGTCAACTTTGAAGTAGAGGGTAAGTATAACCTAAATTATACAGTAACGCCGTATTTTACCTTCAATGACTGGACTAATAATGATCAATCCGCACCTACTTGGGCTCAAATAGTCTCCAATCAATCTGTCACGGAACGAGTTTTAAATAAAAATTATGTCTCAACAAAAGAACCTATCTTTATAGGAACGGGAGAGTCTGAGGTGAACGAAAATTTCGTTGGCAGAGAAGACAAAAATAAAAAAGTGTGGTTATTTTTGTCTGAAATGCCAAACAAAATTGATGAATCTACTATAAAAAAAATGGTGAACAAACACATACGAACAGCAAATGTTTTAACCTGTATTCAAAATACCGGCCCTTTTGATAAGATAAGTTAAATTCGTGATTAAAATTTTGGCACTTATTTATGTGACACCCTGCATATGGTTTCATCAAATATGGAAACACTACATTTATCGCCTAAATGAGGGGCAAACTTCGTCACAGAACTGCAAACCGTATAACAAAACTATTAACTACTGTTAAACGATGTTCACATACAATTCCGAGAGGGAAATCTGTTACTAACCTAATTTCAGGCTACTGTTATGTTCCAACCCTCTCGTTTTGATGTTAGAGAATAGTATAACTGATTTTGGAAACACTACGTTGCCCAACATCCATTTCAGACACTGCGGAAACATTTATACGTATTTCTACACTCATTGTTTGTCTCTATTTACGCGAGATACATCACTAAAATAATTCAAGGTGAAACTCACGCTATTTCGGGTCATAAATCATCTAACCATTAATAATAATAATAAAAATGCCTTTATTTATATCACAAACATTTTTTATACAAAGAAGTATTTAAAGGATGGCGATATTCACCATACGGTGCTCTTCCATATAACCATCCAGGAAAATAAGGAAGCTTTACAAACATACGCTATAGCAAATAAAATAGCAAAAAGATAAACAAAATCAATTATTTAAACATATAACACACCCAAATGCACACTCATATTACGACAAAAATTAAATCTAGTAATAATAAAAAATAATACAACTGATACAATAATTAACTAATAAAGACTTTAAGACTTTTTTTAAAACTGCGAATAGACTTGCGGGGCCTGACATCATTAGGCAAAGAATTATAATTTTTATAGCAATGTAAGAAAATGACCGGTGAAACAGAGCAGTCCTATGCTTTGGAACACAAAAGTTACAACGGTTACGCGTGGGCAAATGATGCACATCAAAATTCGTAATGAGCTTTGAGGTTAAATATTCAGGTGTATGATATAATATTAACTTAAAAATCAAAAAGGACAACTGGATCCGATCACTGAGGTTAGACCACTTCGAATTTTTAAAACTAGGAGAAATATGATCAAACTTACGAAGACCATAACTAAACCTGATACAAGCATTTTGAACTTTTTGGAGACACTCATTATCCCTGAGGATCAAAGCAGGCCAATTATACATGTAAAGGACTTTCAGCTTGCCAAAAGATTTCTGAGTAAGATAGTTGACATGCTTGGCAAATATAAGAGAATTGTCTACCCACAACCCAAGATTTCATTCATTTAAAATAAGATTATGAGCCAAAGATACCTCAGGGATAGAGTTTAGATCAGTACTGATCAGGGCCACAGCTGAAGAGATGTCAAAAGGACAAAAAGAAAAATATAATTGAGCGTCATCTGCATACTGATGGGACGACAATAACTACAAAAATCAGCAGTATAAATAGAAAAGAGAAGAGGACCCAAAACACTACCCTGAGGAACTTCAGCAGAGATAAGATTAAATCTGGATACATCAGCGTTCAAATTAGCCCTCTGGCATCTGTCCAACAGACAACTTTTAAAGAAAGCTACAGCATTGTCACTGAAACAAAAATATTTTAAATTAATACAGTGTTGTATGATCCAAAGTGTCGAATGCTTTACTAAAATCAAGAAGAATAAAACAGGCACATTTATTTTTGTCGATATTACTTATAAGATCATCTGTAACTTTAAGCAGAGAAGTACAAGTACTATATAGAGCTCGAAAGCCAGACTGAGTATCAGGCAGTATATTGGCTTTATTACAATAGTTGCTGACTTGTTCAGAAACTACTTTTTCCAAGATTTTTGATATAGTAGGAAGCATACTAATAGGACGAAAGTTTGAGATATTTGTGGCATTATTAATTTTCGCGATAGGTATAATGTTAGCATCTTTCCACGCAGAAGGAAAAACTCTAGCCACGAGGCATTTGTTTATAAGAAAATTAATATGATTGCTTAAATATGGAGTTACAAGGGATATCATTTTTAAATCGATACCATCACAGCTCTTAGCAGAAGATCTAAGTTTATCAATGATTTTGTCAATTTTATCCACATCAGTAAATACAAATTTATTACCCGATTCACCATAAGACTTGTTAATATAACTATCCGAAATAAGAGTACTAGTATTCAGCGAAGGGTGAGACAGAGGGGAAGCAAAAAAGTTAAGAAAGTCATCGGAGCCAGCCACATTCGCAGAACTAGATGTAGGTTTTGAATTAATATTTAGAGTTTTAAGAAGTTTCCAAAAGTTCTTAGGATCAGTTTTAAATTTATGATTTAAGAATGTTTTTTTCACAGATCTGTTGACAAAATTTCTAAGGACCTTATATTCACCCCAAGCTGATTCAGATTTAGAACGTTTATACTTTAAATAAGCTATTATAAGTTATCAGTGAGCAGTTGTAATAGGAGCATGAATATCAAAAACTTCACTAATACTACTGCTGAGAAAATAAACAATTGCATCAACATTATTCAGACCATAAATGGTATCCCAAGATATAGAACACAAGTCTCTCAAAAAAAATACATAATCAAATCTAGAATAATCTCTATAAGTTTTAAATACCATGGGCAGACGTGTTTTCTTAATATTCAAACTAGTTGTGACTAATCTGTGATCAGAGATACCATCCATCCTAATTACTTCAGTGTTAGAACAAACATCCATACTGGAAGTGACTATTAAGTCTAATAAGGTAGGTACTAGAAATAGAAGTAACACGCGTAGGATCCGTTACAAGCTTATGAAAACCGTATCTCACAAAAAATGTTTAGGGAGAAAGAGTGGCTACTTTTGTTTAAAAAATCTACATTAAAATCGCCTGCACGTGTAATATAATCAAAATCTGGAATAATAGAGGTTAAAACATAATCTAGACTATTAATGCAGTATGTTAAATTAGCCTTAGAAGGTCTGTAAATACAACTCAAACAAATTCTCTTGCCATTAATTTTTAAACTAACCCATTGTCTCCTATTAAGTATTTTTATTACTGAGCTATAAGTTTTGTGAATATTAATTTAAAGGGTAATCTGAAAACGAGTCTTACGTTGATTATTTCTAAAACGATTTCAGAAAATTAAAGATTATTGGAAAAATATCATTAGGTGATGGTGCTCGTATACCTGGCTACAATGAAAACGCTCTAGTCATCTATCTACCATGATTAATGTATGATAAAAAAACTCGTGACACTTCCCTGACGTAAGAGACAGAACCTGTGTAATCCCGGGTCATCTAAACGTTTAAATTGGTAAAAAACTTACTTCTTTGTGCAGTTTTTGCCCATTAAGTTGAGTATATCTAAGTAAAAGCTACTTTTCATCCGTAATCAATAAAATGATGATCAAAACAAAATGTATGAACTTAATAAGTAAAGGAATCAGATTAACTCGTGTTTTTTGCAGAAATAGCGTATTAATAAAATAATTTTTATTTCAGTGATAATGGTGAAAATATTTTTCTTTTCACCCTACTATTTACATCCACGCCAAACACAGAGCAGCTTGTTGTAAGATTAATGCCCTGAGCTAACAAGTAGACGCATTATAATAAACGATGAAAGGAGTCCTTTTTAACTTAATTTAATTAAATCATTCTTACGACCAGTTTTAGACGGATTAGCAGAAAATTAAATGTAAACCTAGTTTCTTCAGCCTTTATTAAAATACAAGGAGTTAACCAACTGATAAAAATGTAACATAAAGTTAAAGGTATCCTATAAAGTTAGAGTAAATCTTATAAATTAAATCGTATAGTAAATCGTATAATCGTATAGTATCGTATAATAAATTCTATAAAGTAAATCCTATAAAGTAAAGTACGAGGGGGGACCCAAAAATAACCGGAAGTTCTTTGTAGAAAGCATTTACTTTATTGTTTTTTAAAATACAACCTTAATCTCCTTCAAAGTACTCTCCATTAGCAATAATGCACTTGTCATTCCAATGTTGGAAGCACCTTTTAAATTCATCCTCTTTGATATCTGCTAGCACCTTCGTGACATTGCGTTTTACGTGTCCGACATCGGCAAAAGGCTTCCCTTTCAAGTCCCTTTTCATCCTCAGAAACAGGAAGAATTCCGAGGGTGCTAAATCCGGTGATTAGAGCGCGTAGGTCAAGTCAGTAGTCTTCGTTGAGGTCAAAAACTGGCGAACACTGAGGGCAGTGTACGCGAGAGTGTTGTCGTGATGCAGAAATTCCACAAAGCCGGACGTTTTCGCGCCAAACATCTGCGCAGCCTTTTCATAACCTCCAAATAGAATTGTTGGGACAAATTCTGAGTGTACGATCCCTTTGATGTCAAAAAAACATATCAACATCGTCTTCACATTCGAGCTTTTTTTGGCAGAGGTAAGTCAGTTGACTTCCATTGACTTTGTTGTTTACTTTCTGGATCGTACCCATAGCACCATGACTCGTCGCCTGTGATGAATTTGTTGTAAAAAATGGATCGTCTTTGAATGCGTCCTTCATTTCATGGCAAGCTTGAACGCGCTGTCGAGTGACGCCGCTTGGCGGAATGACTCAGGAGAGGTTCTACAACTGCCATCTGACGGCGCAAACTGGTACTACAAGTACACGATGCGTAGTATTATTACGATTCCGGTTATTTTTTGATCCCCCCTCGTATATCGTATGAAGTAAAGTAAATAGTATAAAGTATCGTATAAAGTAAATCGTATACTATCGTATAGCAAATTCTATAAAGTAAATCGTGTAAAAAAAGTAAATCGTAAAATCGCATAGTAAATCGTATAATTCTATAGTATCGTATAGTACCTAAATCGTATAAGTAATAGTATTGTAAATCGTATAATCTTATTAAAGATATCGTAAAGAATCGTATCGTTTATTTGTATTACGTTTTGTTTACTGGTATTACAGTGTAACATTCACTATCTGTACAGTGTGAATATCACCATTTATTTTAAGAATAACTATTAAACAGCTTCTTGACATCTTGATATAAAAATTCAACTTTGTTATCACAACTAGTTAGTTTTATTTCCACCTGTATACTGCTGTATTGTTGGTACATCATGTAAATCTTTGTCACACCCTACAATTAGTTATAGAACACCGATTTAATAAACTATATGCAATAAATGTTTACTATTTACCTGTTATAAACATGGAGAAACTTTATGTACAAATTGTAATGATTTCTGTAATTGTATAATTTTAACTGTACTACCTTTATTGTTATTATTTCCTTTTATTATTGTTTATTTGTAAACCAAATCTGGAGCACAATAATTAGATTACTTGGATGTCAGATATTGAAGGTTATTTGTTTCTGTCCTATCGACCCATACATTCATGATTAGTGGACTAGATAATTTGTAGTTTGGACCTATACTCGATGGCCAAAATTATAGATAGTGATTCATCGCTAGCTCTTGGACTAGTAAGGGGGATGAAGCGTGCCGGGAACGAAAATCCATTGGCGTGTCTGTGTAAAAGGCAACAAGATATAGAAAATAATGAAAAAAGATAATAAAACATAACATCTAATATTTTTTACGGTTTGCTATAACAGGCACTTTGATCCATTTTAATTATTACAGCATTCTAAACCTTCCCAGTTGTTTTTTTAATTTATAAATTTATTATAGCCATGGAATTAGACCCCTCTCAGGTCGGGCAAATCAGGTCCGTTTACACCCACTAAAAAAGCATTTCCCTATTCCCTACCAAGTGCAAAAGACAGAGATAAAATATAGATCGACGTTCAGTGTAACTCAGTCTATACACGATTATAGATTCTACCGATGTGCATGGCGAGCGGCACAAAGATAAATAATATTGAACCGTATAGAAATCATTCTATATTTTATACGCATTATGGTAATAGTGTTTTTATATTATGTATTAGGCACTCTTTATAATTTCGGCCGCCGAGTATAGGTTATA